CTCATAACTTCATACACACTGGTGATATACATATTTGGACAGAACAAAGGGTTTCAGCAGATCATGACCTTTCATATGATATCTTATATGGCATGCTTTGTATGAAATATCACAACTACATATGAATGATGAATATGGGGGTTTCAGGGTGCCATTTTGAGGTACAGTGTGTCACAACCATATTCTGTTTCCATAAGCAGGATACTCTTTGTACAGCTGGGATCAACAAATGAAAACTTTCATGTTATTAACATCTACATATACCAAGAAGACAAGTACTTAGTCTAACTATTCTGTGTTTGTACAGTGTCTAGCACAATGGGGCTGCATTCTTGGCTGGCCCTTAGGCACTACCATAATACATATTGTTATTATTATTAATACTACTAAATTGCATTGTTTTTAGGTAAAAGGAACAAGCTACACATTTCAGAGTTACAACGTGAAAAAAAAGTACACCTTGCAAATCAGAGCAAAGGGAGGTGCTTGTCTCATAAGCCAGAATTGGGGGGAATGGAGTGAGCCCATTGAGTTTGGTAAGGATGTTGAGTATTTCTTTTATTTAATTTTCCCTCGGTAATTACCTGTCTGTTTCACTTACTGTCTCACCTTCACAGACACAAACAAATCTTAATTCCATTCAAATATTTTATTTCTTCCTGCTCAGAAGGAAGTGAGGGAGATTATTATGTACCTTTTAATACTTGGGAACCACTCAAATACTATGGTAATGAATGCCAGAAAGAGTTAAGACTAAAACAGCAATAAGGGCTCAGCTACCACGGTGATGAGTGTGGCATATCATAAACACATTTTCCTTTGCCACCAGCTCATTGTTGTCGTCTCTTTTTCCACCTCCATGTCCTCTCCTACTCATCCTCATTCTCTGTATCCTCATCCCTGTCCTCCTCCTCTTTTGTCTTCTGATGGAGTCCTCAAAACTCCTGGGCTCCATGGCCCTGGTTGATCTATGCTTCTGTTGGATTTATAAATTCTATCTGCTCCTCAGTCCTTTACTCAGTAAAGTATCAGACTGAAAGGTAGTTCAGGTTACAAGAAGGCTTATTATGCTGGCATTCATTGCTATCAGTCATCTAAGCAGCTATTTGACATAGCCATGTGTGCTCATTTTACTATGCAAAAAATGTATAACTGTCTTTCTTTAAGGTAAGCCAGATGATGCAGTTCTTACGACTACGATTGTTTCACTCCTCGTAGCATTTGGAACAATCCCAGTGGCACTGGTCATATTTTTTCTGTGCAAAAGGTAAAACTTTTTGTGAAACATGTGTACACCCCCCAAAAACAACTTTAAGTGTCTAAATTTTGCCTGTTTTTTTTTTTTTTTTTTTTTTTTTGCAGGGTGATATTTATAAAGGGATTGCAATATATTAGGGGGAACTGGTACCACCACTTTTTATTAAGGTTTCCATTCTAAGACCCCTGTTTTCAGTTGTTTATAACTTTGCCAAACCATTTGGACAGAACTTTTCCATGCTGCATCAGGGTGAATTGTCTTTCTTTCTTTCTTTCTTTCTTTCTTTCTTTCTTTCTTTCGCCAAAACAGTTCAGTCATCTCAGAGAATTAGGCTAGGAAAAATATGCTGATTTGCCCATTTCAAAAAAAAATAAAGAAATCTTTCTGATGCAGCCATGCTTTGGAGCAGGGATTTGAAATTTGGCAGACTGGTACCCTTTGTGCCAGGGCTGTGTCTTTTGCTGTTGTTGTGAAAATTGCAAAAATTTGGCCTAGTTATAAGCTTTTGAATAATTGAGGTTTGCACATGCTCGGTAGGGCCTTGCCAGAGCTTAACAGCTGAAATCTCTAAAGATTTGACCCTCATCTGCATGCTTGAGCCTCTCACAGCTCCTGATGCTGACCCAATAGCCTATGCACCATCCTCACAGAGTGACTGGAGCATGCTCCAGACCAAGACTACAGGGGTTCATTCCCTATAATGGCTGCTCCCAGCTGCTCTGAGCTGAGGTGGAGCTGAACACAAGAACTGAGATCAGGGAGCCTGTCTCCCCTGTCCTCTCAGTGACACCCTGCTAGCACCCAGGCAACATGGAGGAGGGAGTAGTCTGATTCAAATACAGAGGGATCAAGAGCCCAGTGTAAGGCATTGCATGAGAAGTCTGGGGGAATAGATTGGGACAAAGAGTGTTGGGGGCAAAAACTGGGCCTCGCTGGGCAAAACTAGGTCTGGGAGCCAAAGAGAGAAATGGGGGAAAGGACTGGAAACCAGTGGGATGAGGAGAAGGTGTGGGGAGGGGAGAGAGAGATCTGACAATGAGCTTGGCTGCAGGAGGAGAACTGGGGCTAACAGGGCAATGAGACTGGGACAAGCAGCCAGGGGAGGTGAGAACACTGAGATTGGACGAGAAGCCCCAGGAGAGAGACTGGGAGCAGGGGAGGGAACTGGGACTGGCTGAGCAAGACAACTGGGGACAAGGAACTGAGGCATGAGGAGAGGGAGGACTGGTAATGGCTGGGCAAGGAGGCTGGGAGTTGGAGAGGATAGTGACTGGGTCTTACTGGACCAAGAGGCTGGGATTGGGATCAGATGCCTAAGGAGTGGAGACTGGGACAGGCTAGTGAGGAGAATGGGACTGGTAGCCAGTGGTGGGATAGAGATAGGACTGTGAGAGGGACAGGTTGGGGAGAATGGGGAAGAAGAGGTAAAGCCTGTGGGGGATGGGCAGAAGAGTCTGTGCCCACTAGAGCATTCCCTTCCAGAGCCTGAAATGGAACCCAAGATCCCTGAGTCTCACCATTCCCTTGCTGTCAGCAAAATCTGTGAACCCCACTGGCAAAGTGTCTCATCTCCCTCTAATGTTGGTCCACCGAGGATAACAACCTACTATTGGTATCAGTTATCTATTAGCTGAAATGGCACAGGTCTATGTGGTGGAGGTTGAAAGGTTCCAACCCCGCTGACGACCCATGAAGATGTCAATGTGATGCCATATGATGGAATTTCTGTTTTTTTTTTCAACTGGCTTTTTTAAAAACTTAGGCAATTACACACCAAAAATCCATTAAATCACATTAGTGTGGTAAAGTCAAGCACTCAGAAGTTAGGAAATGGCAACTTGTACAACCTTGATTTATCACCCTTCTGCATATGCATTATGATACAGTCTTTAATTGCATGATCACATACCATTTTTTCCACAGGACCTCTGCCTCATTCAGTGCACAGAATGGTGCACATTTAATGAACCACTAGTCAGTATTTTGTTTTATCCTCATTATTCAGTCTGTGAGCCCCAGGCCTTTTTTACTGCACAATATTCTAATCCTGCTATGAAGACAGAATTACTGATTTTTTAATAGGCTTTTACATGGTGCTCATTACTATAGTACCTTCCCTAGAGCGCTTCATAAACATTAATGAATTTATTTTCACAATACCCCTGTGAGACGAAAGGGGCTATTTTATTCCCATTTTACAGATGGGAAGAAGAGGCACAGAGAGGTTAAGGTCATAACTAACCACTAATTTTGGATGCTCAATCTGAGACAGCTAGGACCTTCTTTTTCAGAGTACTCAAGAGTTATATAGAACTTCATGTGTTCAAAGTGAAGCTTCCATTGACTTCAGTTGCAGTTGTGAGCGCTCAGCACTTCTGCAGCTCAGACCAAGGATTGCAAGTCAGGTACTCTTAAAAAGTGTAATACACAATTAGTGACCACCTGTGATTTAAGTGAGCACAGAATCTCATAGGAACTCTGGCAGAGGCAGGGATAGAATTCAGTTCTTGAGGGCATCCTTCAACTGCCTCAACTAGGAGACCACCTTTTCTCTTCCTGTGAGCCCTGCCTCATTCACTGCACACTTTCCAAATTCTGCAACAAATGAGCCAGGGAATCTACACACAATAGACTCATTCACTACAACCCTGAGGAGGTCCATCCTGTGAATTAAATGAGGCAGGAGTTCTGCAAAATAATATGAGATTATGTAATTAAAGACTATATTGTAATGAATGCACACAAGAGGGCAGAATTAAGATTGCCCAGGCACCCTTAATTCTGGCATTTCCTAACCTAGGAGTGCTTGACTTTGCAATCTTAATAATGTTCTTTTAACGTAGTTTTTGGTGCAGTTACATACAAAAATGGTCTTTTCTAAAGTTTTGTGTCCCAAAAAGCTTGCAATCTAATTTATATAAGTAAACACCTGGAGTAGTGAAATCAGTGACATGTCTATAACTATGCTTTCCTATATATTAAATCCTGTCAAATAATATTTGTACTGTTTCTTTAACACTGTAGCAGGAAGCCAGGTCAGTCGGATGGCAGTGGAGCAAGTTTTGGGCAGAAGATCTACAAGTGAAACAGAAGAGCTTTAATAAGGAGCCTAATTCTCCATTGTGCTGCACCTGTGTGGTTATTTACACTAATGCAAAATAAATGTAAATTGCTATCATTTCTATGTGATAGCATTTTACATTTACTTTGCAATGATGTAAATTGCATCATAAAGTTCAGGGCAATGGAGAATCAGGCCTAAAATGGTTTCCTTATTCTAATCAAGATCCTTATTCAGTATTAGAAGAGAGTGACTTTCTGGTTTGTTTTTTTTAACCAGTCACAAGTAGTAGTAATCAAAATTTTAAACAATTAATTGATGTTAATCCACTCTGCACTAACCAAGCATAAATTTTCAGTTCCTACACTGATTCATTGTACCTTGAAAAGGGAAAATAAGAAATGTCTCAAATATGTAATAGAACAGAAAATATTTGTGCATGTTCTGTACCTATCTTTTCTTCTTCTTCACCATTTCTTTTTGTTCCCAAAGATACTGCAGTTTGAAAAAAATGTTTTCTCCAGTTCCGCAACCAAAAAACAAATTTCATGAACTTTTCCAAATATCTGATAAAAATATACAGGTAAGTTTTCTTTATGTAAAATTTGTTGATTGTAAGGATCTATCACAGACTGGAAGGTCTGACACAAAAAGTTGAGGTTTGCATTTCAATTTATAAACATTAAGAGAGTTTGATGTGAATTCTTCTTTGCTGTTGTTCAGTGTTGTGTGCTGTTACACAATTGTTCCAGCCCACTGGTTCTCCCATTCTAATGCTGAGTGACTATTGATACCAGTCAATTACAGGTAATTCTGACTAATGTCGCGTGACTAGGGCCAAAACATAAAGATAATTCTTTTGCCAGCCCTGCTGTGTTGCTTCTTCATACAGTCTTAACATGCTTGAGTAAGGACTGCAGAACTCCCATTCACATTAATTGGAGTTTTGCCTGAGTAAAAACTGTAAGAACCAAAGTGTTTCACCCTTCTACAATCTATTTGGGTTAACAGAAAACTAGACAACAGAGAGATGTTCACAGACTGAGAATAACTTTATTTTTCTTTACCATGTCTGGGAGAAAAACATAAGTTCAGTATTCAAATCACCTCCTTTACTTTTATTCAGTTTGACATGGTTAGTTGACATTTAGCTCTTGACCATCACATCAATAGTGTTGAAATAAACATGATTGGCTCTTAGCTGGAACAAATGAACGTATTGTTTTCTGGAAACATCTTTTACATTGCAAAACAATGTAATGTTGATTTTGCCTTTGAGGTATCATAATACTGGTGTACCAATGTTGTTTTCCTCTTAATGATAACTCTCTGATAACCAAGAGGTGGGGTTATAAAGAAAAATTAAAGGAGAAAAAATGATATAATTCCATTAAATACCTTTAACCATTAAATGAATAAACTGAAGTCTCAAGTGGTAAATCTCTAGTTAATCTCATGTATGATACTAAGGCAGATTTTTTTCCCTTCCTTCAATAGAGGGAATGGATGGATCTACCACCCACAAAATATGAAACAGAAGAAATAACTACTGTTGAAGAAATTAAATAACTTCTAAAAGCAAAATGAAGCACTTGGATTCCCCAACTCAAACAACTACAAATCCTCATGGCAATTTTGTATGTTTGCACACTCGCTCCCTTTCTCTCCCCTACAAATGTTGCCTAACACTTACATTATAAGGCCCTTTTTTCAGTTTCTTATAACTTTGTCAAATTTGAATCATTTGGACAGAAGCTTTTCCATGCTGCGTGTCTGCTTGAGGGTGAATATTCTTGGAGTGTTTTAAAAAAAACCATCTCAGTAATTTGTTAGAACAACTTTAGGGGAAAAAAATGTTATTTTGCCCGTATTAAAAGACCTCTTACAACCTTTTCATTGACAATCTCTAGTACCTCCCTGCTTTGAAACCTGTGGAAATTCAGCAGGGGTGTTGCTGTGGTGACAAGAATGTGCTTTATTCATCCTTAAGAATATCAACCAAATTTGGCCAAGTTATTAACCGTTGAAAAATCATGGTTCACACATGCTAAGTATAGACTTGTTAAAGAGTTTGGCAGCCAAACTTCTTTAGGTCCTCACATCAGACTATTTCTAAATCTCGGTGATTCTTTCTGCATAACATCTCTAAGATACATCTTTTTCTATCCATCCTCACAGCTAAAATTCTAATGCAGGCCCTCATGATCTTACGACTGGATTATTATTTTTCTCTGGCATTAAGAAATGCAACTTTACCCACTTTTATCCATTCAGAATGCTGCTGCAAAGATCATTTACTTAGATCCTACCCCATTTATACTGCTGTTCACTCTTTTAGTTGTCCAATCGCTGCTAACCTTTCTGGTGAAAACTGAAACAAAAAAGGCATTTAATACATGGGCCATTGCTGTGTTTTCTGTTATTGTCTTTCCCTCCTCATTGAATAGTGGGCCTACCATAGAATCATAGAATATTAGGGTTGGAAGAGACCTCAGGAGGTCATCTAGTCCAACCCCCTGCTCAAAGCAGGACCAACACCAACTAAATCACCTCAGCCTAGGCTTTATCAAGCCGGACCTTAAAAACCTCTAAGGATGGAGATTCCACCACCTCAGATAACCCATTCCAGTGCTTCACCACCCTCCTAGTGAAATAGTGTTTCCTAATATCCAACCTAGACCTCCCGCACTGCAACTTTAGACCATTGCTCCTTGTTCTGCCATCTGCCACCACTGAGAACAGCCTTGCTCCATCCTCTTTGGAACCCCCCTCCAGGTAATTGAAGGCTGCTATCAAATCCCCCCTCACTCTTCTCTTCTGCAGACTAAATAAGCCTAGTTCCCTCAGCCTCTGCTCGTAAAGTCATGTGCTCCAGCCCCCTAATCATTTTCGTTGCCCTCCGCTGTACTCTCTACAATTTGTCCACATCCCTGCTGTAGTGCTGGGACCAAAACTGGACACAGTACTCTAGGTGTGGCCTCACCAGTGCCGAATAGAGGGGAATAATCACTTCCCTCTGCTGGCAATGTTCTTGGCAATAAGGGCACACTGCTGACTCATATCCATCTTTTCATCCACTGTGATTCCCAGGTCCTTTTCTGCAGAACTGCTGCTTAGCCAGTTGGTCCCCAGCCCGTAGCGGTGCATGGGATTCTTCCTTCCTAAGTGCAGAACTCTGCACTTGTCCTTGCTGAACCTCATCAGATTTCTTTTTGCCCAATCCAATTTGTCTAGGTCACTCTGGACCCTATCTCTACCCTGCAGCGTATCTACCTCTTCCGCCAGTTTAGTGTCATCTGCAAACTTGCTGAGGGTGCAATTCATCCCATCATCCAGATCATTAATAAAGATGTTGAACAAAACCGGCCCCAGGACCAACCCCTGTCCTTGGTTTTTCTCTTGCTTCTAATTTATTTGTAAAATGTTTTCTTGTTATACTTTATGTCCCTAGTTAGGCCAAGGAACAAAATGAGATTAAACTTTCTAATTTTGTCCCTATATGCTTGTGTTGGGTTTTTTTAATTGTAACCCTTCTGACAGGTGGAGCCGGCAGCAGCCTGGGCAGGGTTCAATATCTAGGGGTTCCTTTCCCACAATACAACACAGAACCAGCTTGAGCCTCCACCCAATAACATGGGAAAATTACACATCACCCCTGGGTGCCTGAAAGACAATACTTCTCCACTCGCAAGCACACAGTCTGAGCGTAGAAAAGAAACTTTTAATGAAAGGAGAGAAGTCACTCAACAATAATTAGGGAAAATGCTGCAAGCAGGATTCATAAACCTAAAACTGTGAGCAGGACACCCACCCCAGAGTGCGTGGGGCAGCGTCTTCTGCCTCATGTTCTACAACCAAAAGTTCCTTTACTGTGCCCCCCTCTGCTTCCTCACCATATCCCACTCACAGTAGTTGTCCTTGGTCAGTGAGGATCCAGGGTTCAGAGGTGCATCTGTATGAGTCCACCTCCCACCCGGCGAAAAAGACACCTGGCTTGCTCCGCCATCTGAGCACTTGATCTGGCTGGCCACCTCGCCAGCCGCTGCTCACCACCTGGCTGCCCTGCCAGCCGCTGCTTTTTGTTGCCTCCCGCCGGGCAACTGCTCACCACTTTTGCCGGCCAACTGCTTTCCACTTTCACTGGTCACTCCCACCGGCCGCCCATCAGTCACCTTCTGCTGCCACTTGCCTTTCTACTGTGACCTCTGTAGATCAGTCTCTTAGTGATTTTTTTAAGCTCTCAGTAGGTTGGGCAGAAACACTGCTCTAACACAAGTGATTTCAGCTCTCATTGAATACTTAGCATAACAAAAGGCTCCTAATGAAGCCTATTTAGCTTTATCTTTAAACACTAGGGAGGAACAAGTTAAACCAGACCAGGGACCCTTAAGGAGAGTCCACACCTCCTGGCTGGGATACCTATCCCCACCCCTCTTATTTTCACAAGGCTCTGGCATTTGAGCACCTGGCTTAACGAGGTCCTTTCAGCTGAGGCTGACCCCCTCATTTGGGACAGGTTAATCACAGTCCTGCTCCCCTTTATTCATACAAGGACAACAACATCGATAACAGCATTTCATTCCCCTGCATTCAGTACTAAAGTGATTTGTAACCCAACACCGGCCAAAGTTGATCACTTTGAGCAACACCACACTATCTGCTGGATATCTAAGCAGAGTAGGTGTGTTCGTACAAATACAGTTTGCTCCTGAAGTCTCTCTCTCTCCCAGCTAGCTGTCAGGGGAGAGTTCATTCAGACCTTGCTTACATCATATTCATCCTTTGTAATTAGACCTAGTTTCCACTCTTTGTATGACTCTTTTTCAAGTTTCAGGTCATCGAAGATCTCTTGGTTAAGCCTAATAACTAGGTCAACATACAGCATTCATAAATTATTAGAGTGGCTCTACTTCCATCAGCCTTTTCCTGTAAGTTTCCTCCTGGCAGCCAGGGGACACTGTGGTGCCTGACACAGGAACTGAGAGCAGGGAGACTCTCCTGTGCTCTCTCTAACATCCAGGAGGAATCAGCCTGATTGGAATGCAGAGGGGGCAGAGACAGGGTCCAGGAAGGGCTAGGCCAGGGCAGAGATAGCCTGTACTGCAGCAGGGTTGAAATGGGGCAGGCTTTGGGGGGATGGGGATAAGGATTGAGACCAGCTGAAGGAGTGCATTCTAAGGGCAGGGGCAGATAGAATAAAAAAGGAAAGCGTCTGTAACCACTAGAGAACACTCCCCCCACCCTCCCCGAGCCTGGACTAGAATCAGAGATTCTTGAGTCTGATCATTCTTCTGCTGTCTAGCAAATATTTATGAAACCCACTGGCAAAGTGTCTTATCTCACTTTTGTGGCTGGTCCACATAGCAGTAGCTGGTGGTGATTTTCTATCAGTTACTCCAATATATTTTAAGCGGTAGAAATCAGTGTTCTGGATCTAAAGGTTACAGTCTTTGCTGATAACCCATGTAAAGGGTCTATATGGTTCCACACAATTCAATTTAAGTTTATTTTCAGTTTATTTTTTTGGTTTTTGAAACCTAGGTAATTCATACAAAACTGTTAAAAGAAAATTAACATACATTGCAAAGCAGTGCACTCATACATAAGGAAATGCCTGAATAAAGGCTGCCTGTCAAACCTAAATTTGACCCCTTGTGCTTAAGTATTGTGATAGTCTTTAATGATATGATCATATTCTATATTTTTCCCACAAGACCAGAGTTCATTTGGTGTGCAAGACAGATGTTGCTCACTGAGCTGATAGCTATTCAACATTTTTTTTTAAAACTCAGTACTAAACATGTGCTTACATCTGTTTCACAAACATTAACAAATTTATCTTCACAACATGTCAGTGAAGAAAGGTGGTATTACTAGCCCCTTTACATAAGTGCAACTGGAGAGCAGAAAAAAATAAGACTAAAATGGTCACATGTCCACTAATTTTGGATGCTCAACTTGAGATGTTTAGGGCCTGATTTTTCAGGGTGCATATCCTATTCCCATTAAACTGAGTTGGTACATACATAACCAGTGTAAAAAAAAAAAAAGATTCATAATGTCCAGTGAAACACATCTGTGAAAATTAAGAGGGAGGAAAGTATTAAATATGCATATAATTGATATATTTAGAGGCCAGCTTTGTGAAAACTGGCTAGTTTTTATACTTTTTGAAATTTTCTATTATTCAGCATGTACAGCTGATCCAAAAGACTGAGTAATGGCAGTAGTAGGTGAGTTCCAATTATAAACTCTTTTTGAGTGTAAATTTCTGAACATCTCACTGCTGTCCATTTTCCTAGGGCTATTTTTTTTTTAAGTTTAAACTGTGATTGGATACATTTGAATAGAAATTGGTTGTTGCAATAATACAGAAAACAAAAGTTTTTAAATGTCTCATTTATTGTTTGAGTTCTATGTTCCCACACTGTATAATCACACAAAGCTGCTGTTGCTAAATATGATAAAGAATCATAGAAAGCACAAAAAGTGATACAGGCTGTAATTTACAGCAGAGATGAAGAGGATGCAAGTTCCATCAACACTCCCTTAAAAATTGGGTCCCCTCCTCCAGTTTGTGTGTATATATATATATATATATATACACACACACACACACACACACATAAAAATATATAATATATAAACATTTCAATACCATACCAATCACAGTGGCTGCTCCAGTGCTAGCAGCAGATTTTGGTCTTTTCTTACTGTGGAGTGCTGACCATTACTTACTGTACCTTTTGTATTCTCTCCACCTTCATTACCAATGGCCCCTAATGGAGGCAACTAGGATGGATCCTGTTTATTTTTAACTGCTTTAATAAGTAGTCTTGACATCTGAAACAGCAGCTTGAACTGAGAAACCAACACCACAGGAGCTGCCAGCTCTGCACAAACTAGTATGAGAAATAACACCATTAAGTATGTTCCAGATAAGAACCAACATACTTGCTAGCAGTAATACCTACAGGAGTTAATCATGTTTGTTACTGGAAGATGTACCATGCATCTAAGGAATGTGATTACATTACATAAAAACCTTAAAATCAATGGCTAACTGGTACTGGAAGAAATCCAGCTTTAACTCTGACAAATGTCTGTGAACCTCAAGCCTCCAGAGGAAAAATCATTAGCCAAATCATAGACCAAGTGGCCTGAGCGACTACTGCCCAGGGTTATACTATAGGTTATACCAAGGGTGGTCAAAATACGGCCCACGGGACAAATCTGGCCCGTCTAACATTTCTGTCCGGCCCACCAGGCTCTTTGGCTGCACCCTCGCGACCTCCAGGCCGCTAAAAGTCCCGTGGTGCAGTGGGGTGCTCAGGCAGGCTGCCTGGCTGCTGTGGCCCCATGCCACTCATGGAAGCGGCCGGCTGCTGCTGGCATGGCTCTGCGTGC